GCTAGGATGAGCAGCAGGAGAGAATTGTGAGGCAGAAAGAAAGCAGAGAAAGTGAAAAAAGAAACACAAACACAGCCTTATACGTTAAGGAAGACGCCTATGGAGCCATGTTGAAGAAAAGGCTGTGTTCCTCGCTGTTACATCTGACGTTGAGTTGGCTCTTGGATTGGGATACAGACTGAGAATCAGGGAGAGCAGAGACAGAGAGGACAGGATAGCCACGCAGCAGGAGAGGACTAGTCAAGGGAGGAATCGGCTAGTTACAGGTTCTGACACACAGGACGAGCGAGATCTACTGGGATGTTCGACTGTTATCCCCTGCCATGCAGTCTCTCTCTCTCTGCCTCTCTCTCCCTCACTTAAAAAAGCCGAGTCGATGGGCGATTGACGAGGGGTAAATATCGACAAGCCGTTTTACTTCGGAATGATGACATCGTGTGAAGGAAGAAAGAGGAGCTAGCGAGTTATCTTTTTCACCAGTGGGTCGAGTTTAAGCCGACTCTTAGCTGGAGTCTGGAAAACTTCCCTTGATCCACCGTTTACCATAAAAAGCTGATGTTTCTATACTAAGCTGATACTAAACATAACTTTTCGGTTTTTGGCAGAGGAGACGGCGTCAACAAAGACAGCACTGCCGACAGGATATACACAAGAATAGCCCTCAACGCTTCCCATATTATTCAAGCTTACGAAGACCGAAGGCCTTCTCGCCGACATTTCAGCCCATCCAGCCCCCCACGAATGAACGTGGTCCGGTGAGCCTGAACATTCAAAAGGCCAAAATTATAAATATCAACCAGTATGTAACGAAATACACAGGTCATACCAGGCCCTAAAAAAAAAGAAGCAAAACCACTCCCTTCTCCAGTCCCTTGGCCAGGCGAAGGAGAGTGAAAAAAAGGAAAGAAGGCCTTTTTTTTTTTCTCATGATCCGATGCTGCCACGATTGGGCTGCAAGATTTAGGCTTTCACACACTTGCACCCAAGGAGCCATTGGGCAGCAAAAAAAGACACGATGTTAGCTTCACACCCTGGGGCGTTTTCCGAGGACGACTCTGCGGCGAGGTTATTGCCTGTCTTTGATTGCTTGGGCTTGTGTCCATGAGTCATCGGCCGGGCAGAGCCTTCTTCTTCCTTGCTCAACAACGTATGGAGTGCATACATGCATATTGATACAAGGCAGCAAGCATTCTACCTGACAGACGTTACAAATACAAATACATATGAAACCGGTAGACTTGCGGCAGTCGCAGAGTTGATGAGATAAGCGTCCCGCTGCATCCTGGGTGCATAGAGCAGCCGGATATAAATGAATGTGCGCTAGGCAAGGAATACGATCCAAATATCAACGTCATAGGTGAAGAGATGTTGGGGGGAGAGGGGAATGGAAGAGAGCTAGAGATGACGGGGTTGGGAGAAAGGGGGGTGGGGGGGGGTGGTTCCAGCTATCATTTCCCATTTATACTACTCTGGCATTGATTATAATATTGTTAAGCTTGTTTGGTGGAGTTGACTTTTACGCTTTTTTGATGTATGGCTTATCTTTTTTTTTTCTTTTGGTCACATGAAGAATTGTTGGAGTACACAAAGGGTGTGTAAGTGATGTTTGATAGTAGCTAGACCGATGCGATGGCGGGATGAAAGGGAGATATCTGAAATTACATCCTACGAAAAAAAGAACGTTAGCCCTGAGCAATGATCAACGATTATCGGATATCGAGATGGAGGGTTAGATGGAGGTGTTAAGACAAGGAACAGGACTCACCGCTTGACAGGGTTCAAACCCAGAAGCCGCATGCCATTATGGAGGACTTGACGGGCAGACTCATAAAGTGCCATTCTCGCCATCTTCACCTCCGGCTCGCTGCCCACAACCTTCAAAACATCATAGCCGGAGCTCAGCATGTGCGTCATGCGGAACAAATATGTCAGTATCGTACAAGGCTCCAGCGTCTTGGAAGCATTGAATACCACGTCCGGCCACTGGGCAAGTAGGCGGACTAGGTCGACGGCATGCGACTCTGTAAGTAAACTGAGGTCTGCACTGCCTAGCTCTTCCGGGTTGATCTCGGCCTTTCTGGTCACAGAGCAGACACGCGCGTGTGCGTATTGCAGGTATGGCCCTGTGTCACCCTCGAACGAGGTCATGTTCTCTAGGTTGAACTCATACCCGTTGATCCTATTCCGAGATATACAAGTTAGTTTACCCCATGTTCCTTTCGTCTGTCTCTTGGGTTGGATTCTCCCTAGATGGCAATGAACAAGGCAAAAAAAGAAAAAAAGGTGTAGAGTATAAAACTGTCCGAGGAGGCCCATGTATATTCCACGTGTGGAAGAAGATGCCCAACATACCGTTTACCGCTCATATCCTGCACCATAACTGACGTTATTCCGAGAACATCGGCGGTTGCCACTGGATCTTCGATCTGCTCGTACTTGGCTTGGTTCTTTTGCATGACCTCGTGCATTTTTTCTCCAACATCCTTTAGAATATCGTTCAGGAACTTGACCGTTCCTTTTCGGGTGCTCATTCCCCTAACCATACCGAAGCTGATATGCTCACAACGGTTTGCCAGATCCTTCTTTCCAACTAACTCTGTTGTCTTGAACAGCTGGGCAAGGTGAAGCTCCTGCTGAGCAGCTACAACATAGATCATCTTATCGAACTGGTATTCGTCGTCTCGCTCAACGATAGCAGCAATGTCTCGTGTGAGGTAGAGCGGCGTTCCATCCTTTCGGATCACGATGGCCTTTCCAAGCTTCTTTGCCCCGTGTTTTGCAAAGTCGATGATGACAGCACCTTCTGAGCTTTCAGAGACACCCGCGCTCTCCATGGCCTTGTAGGAATTCTTTATGCTCTCGTCCTTGACTTGGGACTCTCCAGAGTAAACATCGAAATCGATGTTCAGCCGAGCATATGTCTGCTTGTACTTTTCAATACTGAGGTCTCGAAATCGCCGCCACAGTTCAAGTGCTTTCTCATCTCCGTCTTCCATGCTCTTGAAGTATCGACGGGCCTTCTCATCATAGCTTGCATCGACTAGTGGCTCCAGCCGCTTCTCCAGCTCCGTGACATCTTCATTCTTCTCCTTTTTGGCCTTGATCTGCTCCTTGAGCTCCTTTATCGGGCCTTCCTGTGCAGCTACGTCTTGGTTGATCTTCACGTACACCTCAAACAGATGATTAATAGGATCCTTCAGAAGTTCCTCTTCGCTGCCATACTTTTCGTATCCGCTGGCAAGCAGGCCGTACTGCTTTCCCCAGTCTCCAAGGTAGTTGATTTTGAGAACTTCCCATCCTAGAATTGTGTATAGGTTGGCGATAAATCCACCAATGATGGTACTTCGAAGATGTCCGGCGTGGAAAGGCTTCGCAATATTTGGAGACGAGAACTCCACCACGAGTTTCTTCTTTCCTTTGCTCGCATCTCTTTGATCTCGTAGACCGACGTTTGGATTGCTTCCATATGCGTCTTTGTTTGCCAAAATCGAGCGGATCACGTTTTCGGTCATAGGTCTATGGCTATAAAAGAACTGAAGATGCGCACCAACGACGACTGGTGGCTCAATTAGGTCAGATTTCGGAAATTTGGCAGCGATATCCGCCGCAATTTCTTGTGGCTTTTTGCCCTTTATCTGTAGTGCGGGTACCTATAGCGTAACACATACACCATCAGCAACTGTCAAACACCGACCCTCTATAGCAAGACTAGACTTACAGGAAGAATCAAGTCACCCTTGTCCAGCATATTTGTCCATAGTATCTTAGTATAGACAAACGCCGGTTCCAGCCCTGAAGCTTCTGCGACCAACTCTGCGATATGCGCGCGGTACTTGTCCACCGGGTTGAAAGCAGGGTAGCAATTGGGATAACTCGACACCTCCGAGCTAACGGACTGAATCGACAGACTCGCAATAGAAGGGATAGCGTCTGAAGCCATGGTTAATACCGGACGAGTAGCCGTAGTCAATGATAGAGTCGTCCCGCGCCTGTCAATGTATGGTAGTGGGGTTCGACTTCGACCCAGGTTGCGTGGCAGCAGCCGACAGTAGCTGGAGAAACTTGATATGCTGATTCGAGGCTTGAATATGCCGGAGTACACAGTTGGAGAGCTTCGGAGGAGTTGCTGGTGCATCCAGAAAGCAGTTTTGCGCCGGACGTTGAAAGATTGAAAGAATCGAAAAACTTCTTGGTGAGTCAAAAATTAAAAGCGCGGATGGAGGTTTTGCCCCACGTGAGTTTATTGGTGCGAGAAAGCCAGCTCGGACTAAGCAATTGATAGATCACGGCAAGGGATGGATGACTTTTGATGCGGAATGTATGAACGAGAGACTTGATGAGATGGATGAGGCGGTTGTTTGAGATGTGAGAGATACAGCTATCGGGTCTATCTATTCCCGTTCGAGCATGGTCTTATCGATATCAATATGAGGCTGATACCCAGGGATTGGAGGTGCAATTGGTAAGTAGGGTTAACTGCCTATTCTATGGTGGCATTCCGGCAGATGTAAGTCACTAGATATAATGATACAAGAGAAAGCTCTAGATGCCATTATACAATCAAGGTGTTGCTGGGTGCTAGAACCACCAGAAGTCCGATCAATCTCACGCTTGGCAGGGTCTTTCCCTAACCCCTGCTGTAGTATGTGACTATTCCCTAGGACGAACAAAAGAAAAGTAAGCCCAAGACTGGATATATCAGGCAATAGGGCTTGTGTTAAGAAGAATTCTCCTCGGCCGTTATATTGCTACTGCCACCAGAGACAGCACAGTATGTTTTCTGGTTCCGATATTTCGCAAGCTGGATCTGGGTTCGGACATGATTGTAGGTGGTGTCATCGAGGTATTTACGGCGCTTGGTAGCGGAGCCGTAAAGCTGCTGCATCCGTACCTGCATTGTCAGCGGCGTGGTAGCGAGTTGATCGGCGGGGGTATCCGGTGGCCTAGCCCAGGCAGCATAAGGTCCGCTGTATTTAGGACCTTTACCGGGGCCGAATTTGTCATGCCTGACTATTTGGCCCGACTCAATCAGCGCTTTAGCAGCGCTCACAGCACTGTCTGGGTTACTCGCTAGCTCATCTTCAGCATGTTCGAATAGCATTGACTTGTCGTCATTCTGAGGGGATGAGGTGGAAAGTATGTGGATGCTACCGCCAGTATCTCCAATGAGCATAGTCGTCTTATCGGGGGATAATGCTCCAGATGTTATATCAGTACCAAGATTAGCAATGTCCCTGACGAAAACGTCCTCTGTAGCAGCCATGATGTTCCAGAGTTTCACACACCCGTCGGAAGATCCAGTATAGAATCTATTTGGCTGATCCCCCCAGAGTGCAAGCTGTACACCTACATCTTGCTCCCTAATTGGCGGGCCATGCTTAAGTTTATGAAGAATCTTGTCGGGATTTCTCCAGTCCCACACATAGGTTGTTCCGTCAGTACACCCAGCGGAGATGTAATTCTCATTGAATGGGCAAAACGTCACATCGTTGATATCAATACCAGGGCAATCATAGCTAACTATGTCCCTCTTACCCCTCAATGGATCATAAACATTTACCATTGACCGGATGTCCGAGCCTAAACCCTTGGAACGGCCACAGGCAGCTATGCCGGCAGCGAATAGAGACGACGTCGGATGCCATGATATATCAAAAACATTCTGTGAGTTAGGCATCACATTCACTTGGCTAACGCCAGCTTCTTCCATTCGCCAAAGTGCGAGGTGACCACCAATCGGAGGGTTGCCGTGCATATCCGTATCATCGGGTAAAGACATTCCTGCTGCAAGCAGATCTTTAGTGTGACAGTTGACTCCCCAGGCTAGAGATGTTGGGGTCATGAGTTTTTTGTGACGTAAATATATCTCTAATGATGAAGAAATAGCAAGGCCGTACTCTTGTTCAACATGCCACAGCAGAAAGCTATTCTCACGATCGGATCCAGTAGCCAATCGACTATTATCAACCTTCGAAAGCGCCATAACTAGGACCTTCCCAGGGTGACGGAGAGTGGTGATACATCTAGTATCCTGGTGGCTTGAAGCATCCCATACCTTGACAGTTCGGTCATAGCTGGAACTAAACATCCGGGTTCCATCATTGGACCATGCTACTGCACTGATAGACGTGTAAAGTTGGGAGTCGTTTCTGCTTCCTCCTTCATTTGCTCGTGTTGGGTCAAATAACGCTCGCGGCATCCGGTGATCGGGAAGTTCTTTAAGCCTATTGATAGCTAAATCTCCCACCACTAAGTTATTTCGCCGGTTATACATCATATTCCCAGGAGAACAGGACGTTGCAGATCCGGCCACAAAACGAGTACTGTCAGGAGACCATTCAAGCGCCACAACATCCTGCGATGCGCCCTTCCATGATTTCCAATGCTCCCAGTTTTCATTTGCGGATTTGACCAAGGTTCGGTATATGGAAGATTTTCCTCTATATACCCGGTATCCAAGCTCACGGGCTCTAATATGAGACAATACATTGGCAGTATCGTACGGCTGTAGATGTTCGTATGGTTTGGATGGATAAGCTCGAATAATTGACGGCGAGGTAGACAGCCAGCCATTTTTAGCATCAGTTAGAAATGCGCGAAACCCATGAGAATCCCGACGTCCTATAATCTCTATTTCTTGAGCCACTTCTCGTAGCTTCTGTTCATCAACTTGTTGTAACAGAGCTTTAAGATGGGCATTGATATCGTTGTTCACAACAAGAGCAGAGACCAGAAACTTTTCTTTCAGAAACCGGCATACGGTAACCAGATGTTTAGTAGACTTGATCTGTTGTGCCATTTCACAATTTCGGCAACCCAAAAGGAATTCATGTATATCCACGGTGTATCGTGAAAGGACCAGTTTTACTTCATGAAAAGTAGCTAGTCTCTGAAGCAGACCCCCAATTTCACCGCAACCAAACAATTGCTGAGTATACTCGGTAATAAGGTCCTGGATACAGCCTTCGTTCCGTGTTTTCTCCCCGCTTCTCATATAGCGGTAGAGAGCGTTCAATTCATTCATGCATAGGTCAGCATGTAATAAAGTCCCTTCGCAACTAATATTGGTATGCTTCTTCGTCTTTAAAAGGGATTCAAGGTCCTTTCTCTCCTTCAGAGAGCAGTAAGGTGCATACTCAGATGCAAAGTCATCCAGGGGCTCCTTTACCACAATGTGAGTAGCGGAGCGGTAACATACACGGCCCGACCCATTCAACGGTTCGGACACTGAATTAAGAGAAGAAGGTGGAGGCGAGAGTGGCTTGCTGACTAGACAGTTTTCTTCATTTTGATTCTGCGGACTACAGTCCCCCGGGGTACGTCCGTAGTATTTAAGAGGGGCTTTTTTTCGCCTTAATGACCGAGATGCTGGGGGTATCGGAGCCTCAATAAAATCAGAAAATGGAGAATTTTCCCTCTTTATTCTTTTAGTGTTCCTGCGCTTTAATCTTGTTGATGGATGGGAAATATGTCTGTCTGCAGGTAGTCCAGTTGTTTGAGGTGTTCCGTCAGGTATTTCCACCCCAGGATGAAGCGAAGACGTTGCTATCTGTGAAGGTGGACTTTCTGACTGCGTTTGTGCTCGATTGTATATTCTGGAACTGTGGTCGTCTCTCTTTCTACTCCCCCCTGATGCCGTGGACGTCTCAATGGATTCAGCTTGTCGTTTTGTAGGGATAACGGGGGAGTCTCGTGAGATACTCTCTGTGGAAGCATCATTATTATGGTTTCTAAAGGACAAAAAACTGCCTAAAAGTGCATTCGCTTTCTGGCTAACTCGTTCGATATCCGACTCGCTTTCTGATAGTGAGATCGAGGCTGAACTGGCGTTTTCTGGAGGCACTGCGGCGGCGCCGGTGCTGTTTCTCGAGGTAGCGGGCCTCGTTTTCCTGACAATAGGCCTGCTGCTCTTTTGACCTTCCGTCTTTCTATTTCGAAGGGGCATTTATCCTTAGTTTATCCGTTCCTCTGCTATGCAACAGCTTCTCTCAGGCCACGGGGCCCAATGCACCTATGAAGAAGGGTTAGTTATGAGTCGAGCCGCACGCATTACTTAGCAGAGTACAATTAGCAAAGATGACTATCAGCTTCAGTAACTCACCAGTATCGCCCCAGTCGCTCAGGAGGAGTAGCTGTCAGTAGCTGGAACTGCGGTTTGTGTTCTTTGGTGTTTGATGGCCGACGCGAGCTGGATATAAGCGTAGAAGGCTTATCGTCTTGCCGCGGTCTTGGCGCCGGCGAGATAACAAGGAGCTTATTAGTCAAGGACATACAAGGCAAGGCGGTATGAACGAATTGTTCTTTGACTCATTGAAGACGTGGGCGTTTTATTGTTTAACAGGACTGGTGACAATACTCGTAGGATAGCTTACGGTGATTATACAAGTGAGATCAAAAAGACATCAATCACATCGGATTTGGTAATCGTTGAATATGTTCGGCGTTACAAAGCAGTGAATGATCCAGCCATGGAGTGAACAAATCAATTAAAATTAGATAGAGTTACATACTCATGCCGAAACATATATTCGTGTACCCATTATGCATCGCTAACCAAGGACGTGGCTTTGAATACATTTTTCCCTCCCAGAGCAGCCCCATCTATGTTTCCATACCGCCCATACCAAGGAAATGGGAGACATGCTTAGAAGCAGAAAACTTGGTCCTCGAGTTTGCTGACGAGGTTGGCCTTTTTGTAACCCAAAGACTCTGTGGCCTTCTTCATGGCGCTAACCATAGGGGGCGGGCCACAGATCATGATTTTGATATCGTCCGCTGGCGCAGGAAGATGGGCCTAACAGTGAGATTTAGTAAAAAGTTCAAAATATGAAAGCAACTTGAAAGAGTACTAGCCTTGATCATGCTTGGGGTAACAAAGCCGACACCGCCTTGCCACATTTCCGGAGGATTGTTCAAAACGTAGTGAACACGGAAAGCCTTGTCAGTTTTGGCAAGTTCATCAAGCTCTTCCTTCAAAAGAATATCCTCCACATTTACGTTTGCAAAAATAAGGTCAACCTGCGTGGTGTCGTTTCCTCCGTTGCTTGGTCTGCCCTTGACGATTGCCTTGATAACCTGAAGCATTGGTGTAATACCGGTACCTCCGGCAATCATTCCAATATGTCGGGCCATGTTAGGAGTATAGACCATGGCACCCTTTGGTCCACGGACTTTCATCGTGTCTCCGATTTTCAGGGTAGTCATGTGCTTGGAGATGTTCCCCTGAGGATATGACTTGATGAGAAGGTCGAAGTATCCGGCATTGTCGTCAGAGGAGATAGGGGTGTAGGAGCGAACGATCTCCTTAGTCTGGCCCTCTACAAGAGCTGCAAGAGAGATATGCTGACCAATTGGTAACCCGAGGATGTCTGTGGGACGAGGGAGGGCAAATCGGTAAATGGCAACGTTGTGGGAAACAATTGTCTTCTCCTTGAGTACAAATTTCTGGAACTCGTTGGGTTTCAGGACCTTCCGCTGTCCTACAAGTGATAATTTGTCAGTATTATCGCTTGAGGATTGAAAACTACCACCGAGAGACGGGGTGTGGGGGAGGGAGCCATTACTGTTGCTAAAGATCTTGTAAGCTCCGAGAACCACGGCCAGCGCCACGGCGTAAATAACCCATTCAAGCTTCATGATTGCAGTTCCAGCAATCAGCAGGCCAGCAGGAATGTAAACACCGTCAATATATTGGCGAGAAGCCCATGCACTTAACCCACACAGTTAGTATCTCAACAGTCTAGATGCAACACTCGAATGGTACACCCAAAACAAACAACAAGGAACGGACCTCATTCTTATACCCCTAAAGCTGAGCAGACGGACCCGCAGCCAGAGTAGCGAGACTAGTTTTGAGAAGGGAGCTGTTTCGGCGAGGATTGGAGGAACCCGGGGAGAAAAAACCGATCACTAGCAGATCCAGCAGCAGGGAAAAAAACAGTTGGGATGTTTTCTGTGGCGTCACTAGTTGCTTATGTAAGATAATCCTCCGCGCCCTTTCCAAACGTCACTACGGATTATGTAAGAATATTATACTTTCAAGGTCATGTGATAGATCAAGTGCCCCGGGCTTGGCAGTCACTGCTCCACAAGCATCGACATCAACATCGACATCAACATCGACGTCCACTTCTTTGCTATACAACATACATATTATTACTCGGTATAGATGGGAGGATAACACCCAATAGCTGGAATGGCGCCGCAATTTCTAGATGGGAAGGCTGGCTTCCCCCTTAGTGAGAGTGATCGTCAGATTCTCGCCCAGACGGACGACGAGTTTATCTGCCACGACTGGCAGCAACTGAAGGACATCATAGGTTAAACAGCTCTCCAGCCAGCTCGATTACTCTGTATATGCAATGTCGAAGCTCTTTTGCTGAGATAAATTAATATGTGGCATCAAATAGAGGGCGGTGACACTAATTCTGTCTTTTATAGCAAGTAATCAGCTTGAACTGCTCAAGCGGAAACCATCCGATCTACGCCGATACGCGGCATGGAGCTCCACTATCAAAGAGCGATATGGGAATATAGGAAACTTCATATGCAAAGAACGCTTGCATTGGCCCATAGACAGAGACCCTCAGACCTTATGCCAGAACCCGACACCTTTCGCAGATCCAAGGGATTATAAAATTCTTCGGAATGACTGGCCGTACGGCCTCGCGCCGGATATTACACATATGTGTGTATGGATTAAGAACAGGATAGATACTACTCCTGAAAATGGAGATGTCACCGAAGAATCACGGGCGTTGATTGACGATTTCGTCCATAGAACATTTACGTCTCGTCTGAGTGGGTTCAGTGATGCCGCTGATAGAGTCATATGGTTTAAGAATTGGACCGCCCTGCAGAGTGTAGGATCTTTAGAGCATATCCATGTGCTTGTGAGGGATATTCCTGATAAAGTTATTGTGGAGTGGACTGGTGAGGAAGCCAGGGAGCTCTCCCTGCCAAATGGAACACCTTTGTAGAAAGTTATAGAATTTATATCGGCTCTAGTGGGAGAGGAGAGGGGGTGGGGGGCAGGGGAATAGAATTCTTGGAGCGTCATGAACAGATATATTGATACCGCAAATCAAGGCGGACACACAAACACCAGCGCAAATTTAACGCCGTCCCATCATTATAGAATTATACGCTGAGGCAGCAGTAGTCAAGAATAAAGGGAAATCAACAAATATAGCACAGATATACGTAAATAACCATGGCTGCATTCAAGATTTCTGTTCATCCACAAACTTCAAGGCCTCCTCACGCGAGACGACATCAATGGTACTGGCCTTGCTACGGAAGCTTACGCCATAGCACTTCTCTGCAACGTGGAGCATCTCGGGTCGGAATGTTGTACAGATGAACTGGCCATTGGTTTCTTCCGATATGGACTGGAGCATCTGGGCCACGGCGGTTCGATATTGGGCGTCAAGATTAGCGTCAATTTCATCAAAGAGGTAAAAAGGTGCAGGATCGCAAGCCTGAATTGCAAAGACAAGAGCAAGCGCGCATAAACCTGTGAAATGTTAGCCTTTCTTTTTTTATAGTTGGTCGTTAAATGGATATACATACTCTTCTGGCCACCACTAAGCTGCTGGATTCTCTGCTGATCATCGTGTTTGCTGTTAAAACTAACACTGATGCCGACGCCGATGTAGTTCTCTACGCTACGGCGAGCCTCCTCTTCATCGGAGTCCATGTCCTCCTGCTGTCGAGTGGCAGCATCGGTTTTCCTCTGGATGATAAGTCGTCCTCGACCGGCGGGGGCTAGCTTCTCGAATATCCTTGCAAACTCTCTTGAAACTTGCTTGAAGGTTCGTTCAATGGCTTCATCCTTTCTTTGATCCAAGATCATAATCAGCTCGTCAATGGACTTATGGGATGCATCAAGTTCTTCCCGACGTTTGGTAAGGGTCTCTCGCTGCTTCGTGAAGCTGTTGTACTGCTCAAACGCCTTCTTATTGACATGCGAATATTTCTTGAGAGCTTCATTGGCTTTATGCAGCCTCTTGACAATTGTGTTGGAGTCTGTATTTTTGAATTTAGTAAAGGCCTCATCAGGAAGCACGCCAAGGTCGCGAATGTTAGCGCTGCATTCCAGAGCTTGAGCAGTCAACGCTGCCTTTTTCTGCATACTCTTTTCCATGCGGCGTTGGTGCTTTTCGATGGATTTAGCGAATTCCTCCAGCTCGCGTTTTATATCCGCTCGACGCTGTTCAAGCTGTAAAGCTTCGTTGTTTTGTTGTTCTATGGTATTCTCCAGTTTTTGAAGTTTCTGGCTGAGTTTCTCGAGTGCCTTCTGTTGTTTCTTGACCTCCCTCTCACTCTCTTTCAAATTCCCCTGAACAGTCTCTTCGCCAGCATCTAGACCTTGGCCAGCTAGGTGATCCAGCTGTGGATAAAGGTTTTCACGTAGCTCAACTTCCAAGATTGATTTCCGGGTTTCTAGCTCACTGCGGCTACTAGATAGTGTGGCATGCTCTCGCCGAAGATCCTGCACCATAGAGTTGAGGCTCTCTAACCGTGCCTCCTCGGCATTCGAAAGTGCTTTCTCAAAAGGTGTAGCAAGTTCCTCCTCATGAGCTGTTATTTGGCTAGTGAGCGAATCAACATTGGCTTCAATATTCTTAAGAGCGCGCCGCTTTGCTTCAAGAGCGTCAGTTTTGTTGTGCAATAGATCCCGTTTGCTTTTGATCTCTTGACGTAAGGGACCATTGCTGGAGTGGAGCTGCTGGCGTTTTTGCTCTGCTTTTTGAAGATGACCAACTGCCTGTGTAATCAATTGGTCCATCTTCTCCAGCTCACGCCGGATCTCTCCACCACGAGCCTTCTTCGCATCATACTCGTCTCTCCATTTCGCAACGTTCTTTGTTGCATCAAGTCGAGACTTCCTTGAATCATGGAAACCACCAGTAAGAGCACCGCGCTTGTCAGATCGATCACCTTCAGGGGTAATGGCATTGACGCCATGACTGCGAGCATACTGGGATGCGATCTGAAGATTAGGACAGATAATCGTCCTTCCAAAAACTTGTTGAAAAGCGGGCTCATACTGAGGGTCATATTGCAGTTTTTCAATCATTGGAATTGTGTCACTAGCCCGAGGAATATTGCTAGCTCTCGGCTTAAGTCTGTTTAATGGCATGAAAGTGACTCTTCCTGACTTTTCCTTTTGCAATATCTCTAGGACTTTGGTAGCTGTCTCGTCCGTATCGACAACATAATGGAAAAGGCTCTGACCAGCGGTGACTTCGACGGCCGTACGATATCTATCGCTAACGTCAAATAACTCTGCAAGCGTTCCATAAACACCCTCAAGGTTATATTGCCGTTTGATTCGTCGTACTGCTGCAAGGCCCCTGCTGGTATTTTGGTCCATCATGTGGGCAAGTGCTCTTTCTGCTCTTTCTACTTCATGGGTGGCATTGGTGAGAATTGAGTCTAGCTTAGCCTCTTCTCTCCAGAGCTCTCTATACTCAAATGTTAGATATAGCACATGGAAATGAGGTAATACGTGGAGACTTACTTTCGCTGATCAATTAGCCTATCCCGTTCATCTTTTGCGGTTTGAACTTCTTGATCAATAGATTGAAGGTTGTCACCCCAGCCATCAGCTTCCTTTCGAAGTTTCTCAACCTCTGGCTCTAGAAGGAGGATGTCATTTTCTAGTTCTTGGATTTCCTTGGTTGTCTGCATTCGAACAGCCTTAACAGTAGAGACTTGGGCATAAGTATTCTGTATTTCACTCTGCAGCCAATTATCACGTTCCCCTTTGTTTCGGAACCTGGAAATTCGCCCTTGCTTTGCATATAGACGCTGTCTCCCTGTTTCAGCCTCATTCAAACTAAATTTCGCCTGGTCTTCCCGTTCTTTCATTTCGTTGAACTGGGGAAGCAAGGTACTTAGTTCTTCCTCACGCTCCTTGATGGCAGCATTTACTCGTTCGACGTTCGCTTCACGCTCGGCTTTTGACCTTTGAGCAGCGCTCTGGCCTTCTGACAGGGATTTGCGCTGTAATTCGGCTTGCGCGAGTGCCCGAGATGCATCGCGCCTATCATCTTCCAGTTGGTCCTTTTCCAGCTTCAGAAGCTCCATTTGTTGCCTGAGCTCTGCCTTTTGGGTGTCTATTTGAGCAATGTCATTCTCTCCCTGCATCAGCCTGTTTCTATTAGCGTCCGTATCTTCAACCCCAGCTTGTCTTTGGTCATCAATGCTTTCCAGAGCGCTCGCAATCTCGGCTTGTTCTCGAGAATAAATGGTGTATTCGAGGCACCGTCTCTCCCTTTCCTTCTCCTGAAAATTCCTAAGTTCATCTTTTTCTTCTTCAAGTTCCCCAAGCCTCTCGTTGATATAATCCAGCAATTCATCAATCTTTGCTCGTTTATTGTTGGTCTCGTTCATTATCTTCAAAGATTCCGTACGACGCGCTTCATAAACCTGAGTTCCCGCGACTTCTTTCAGGAGTACTAGACGTTCAGAATCTTTCATATTCGTCAAAGTTGTCACTCGACCCTGTGGGACAATGTAATAGGGGTTCGACCTCGAGAATCCAGCAGACTCCAGTAGATTCATGACATCAGACTTGGTGGCATTCTTCCGGTCTAAGGTGTATTCATCTTTCTTCAAACCGATGGTACGGCGCAGTATGAGTTCATCCTTGCCTGTTGGGAAACGGTCGTCCGAATTGTCGAATATAATCTCAACGTACGCTGACATAACCGCGGAACCCGAGCCCTCCTACTTTTATTAGCAGCCGCATATAAATTTGAGGGGTGGGCGACTCGGTATACATACATGTAGCAGCGCCTGGCGCTCTTCCCTTCCCATGTGTGTATAGGCATCACTAAGAACAAATCGAATGGCAGCAAAGAAATTACTTTTGCCGGAGCCATTACGGCCAACAATCACATTGTGCTTTGGAGAGAACGGTTCAATGACCGTTTGATCTTTGTAGCTATTATACGATATGCCGTTAGCAAAGGCGCTTTACAAACTGAGGAAATGGCTCCCCCCTCACCTACCTCTTAAAGCCTTGGATGATAATTTGCTTGATGAACATCTTTGGGGGTAAAATATTATGATCAACCTGTCATCGTCTGAATGCGCACCGGTGAGAGAAATAAGAGAAAGAAACCCCACGCCTCAGCGTCCTAAGAGAAAATGTAGCTCTCTACCGAACCCATCGCCTGGTGAGAAATGCCAACGCGTCTAAATTGAACAAGCAAGCGCGTTTTCTCTCTGCTTACATAATAGAGTTTAGGGCTCTCGGCTCGGGAAGATATTTAAGCGACCGATAAGAATATTACGTAATTCTTATCGCTAAAAAAAATAAAGTGCAAATATCAAAATCTCAGGCAGCAAAAGGTAATTCTCGACGAAATTCATGAATTACAAGCAGATTGTCGATATTAAAGGACTCTATTAATAGTTAAACTGGAAAATTACAAATTATGACAGGAGGCATCAAGCTGGAGGAAACTCCTGAAAGGAGACCCGAGGACAACACGGAACCGTCAGCTACTGGAATCCGCTCTGCAGACCCCGCCAACGAGCTTGAGGGCGTTGAAGAGCTAGAGGATGATGAATTCTATGATGATATTTTTGATGATGAGCTGGATGAGATAGACTTTGGTGCTTCAAACCCATCTGACTTCACAAAATCCTATAATAGGCAAAGGAAGCTAAACGAGGTTGCTGCCGATGCAAATGCCCCCCTTTCCTCATACCCAAAGAGTAACCCTCAGAAACCGACTGTCAATACGTTCGCGAAGGTTGATGATCAGATATCAACGTTATCACGGCATGCTGGAAGAATCAGACTGGATGATGCGCAGTCCGGGCTAAAATCGAAGGGTGGAAGGGGAGCAGATAAGAGCGACAGAGCTACATCTGAACAAGTGTTGGACCCCCGGACTCGCATGATATTGCTTCAGATGATCAATAGGAATATTGTCTCGGAGGTCAATGGCTGTCTATCCACAGGAAAAGAAGCAAACGTCTATCATGCAATCTCCCAGCCCGACGACGACAGTCCAGACCTTCATAGAGCTATCAAGGTATACAAGACCAGCATTTTGGTATTCAAGGACAGAGACAAGTATGTCACTGGTGAATACAGATTTAAGCAGGGGTATAATAAATCCAATAACCGCTCTATGGTTAAAGTGTGGGCAGAAAAGGAGATGCGAAACCTCAAACGCCTCTACTCTGCTGGCATTCCTTGCCCTGAACCATTATACCTTCGACTTCACGTCCTCGTGATGGGCTTCCTCGGAAATTCAAAGGGAATACCAGCTCCTCGGCTGAAAGATGTACAGCTCCAAGATGAGGACCTAGATTCCCGGTGGAAATCTCTGTACATGGAGCTGGCGTCACATATGCGAACCCTGTACCAAGATTGCCGCCTCGTCCACGCTGATCTGAGCGAGTATAATATTCTATACCACAACCACAAGCTCTACATTATCGATGTCAGTCAGAGTGTCGAACAAGACCACCCGAGGAGTTTAGAATTCTTGCGCATGGACATTAAGAATGTCAGCGACTTCTTCCGCCGGAAGGGAGTCTACACTCTCCCTGAACGAACATTATTCGAATTCATCACCTCGGTCGATGGCCCTCGTGCTGTATCTGGAGATCTGGGCCCAATGATCGAGGTACTGGAGAAGCTCTTCACCTCCAGAGCAGAGCGCCAGGAAGAAAACGCTGAACAAGCCGAAGGCGAAGAGAACGATGAACTTGACACAGCTGTCTTCCGGCAGCAATATATCCCTCAGACACTGGAGCAGGTCTACGATATAGAGAGAGACGTTGAGAAGCTCCGAACTGGCAAGGGTGATGAACTGGTTTACCGCGAGCTTCTAGCTTCGGGTGCAGGACCGAACAAGTCAGCGCCTGAAAATGAGGGGGTGGAGGATCTTGGTGAAGACTCTGATGTCTCTGGGGGTGTGTCTTTGTCTGATAACGGCTCCCAGTCCGGTGATGCGGATGAGGTGGACCCATTCGCAAAGAAGCAGCCACGAGGCAAACGGTTTGAGGACAAAGACGCCAAACGCGACCATAAAAAACAAGTCAAGGAGGAGAAGAGAGAGCAGCGGGCGAAGAAGATACCAAAGCATGTCAAAAAGAGACTTGTCAACTCCTCAAAGCGCAAATGAGCGTTAAGGATTCGATTATGTATCCTTTTTACATCCGCTTCGCATTTCTACATGGATAAAACCAGTATGCTTAACCCCTCCGAAGGAATCACTCTTCGACACCCCCCGTTTTGGGCCCCCCCCCCCCCCCCCCCCCCCCCTCCTTCTTCCTTCTTTTTTTTTTCTTTGGACAATAATCCACTTATTGGCTTGGATTTATAAAGGATACACGCTTTTTTGCCCGGGAAAGGGCATTTGTCTTGATTTGATTTAAACTCTATATTTTTGCAATATTTATCAATGAGTGGATGCATTCCTTCGATGCGGAACATGACACAGAATAGACAGTATACACGTCAGAAAAACTGGACTTCAGCAAGGGTTAAATGCAGGAATTCTCAAAAGGCCACGCTATCCCTTCGATTACCATTCCCATGTCAGACAAAAACGATATCAAGCTGAGCTCCTTGAAGAGTCAATCAATATCGACGGCAAACCTTGCCAGATACCTGGCCGTTTCCTTTTCCAAAACCCAGATATCGGAGAAAGTTTGAACTAACCATCGCTGTACCTGGAGGCGGATGGCCTCATCTTCCTCTGGGCTCTTTGAGTCCTCAGCAGCCATCAGGGCAGCAGCCAGGGAAGCTGAGGTGCACTGCACAAGGACTTCCAAACAAGTGACCAGTAGACGAATAGGTTCTTTCTCATCATGGAGCCTCTTGTCTTCAGCGATACAATTTGCGAAACGGATCACAGTTCCCAAAGCCCTCATTTCCAGCTCTTTCTTATGTTGGACTGTGTAGGGCAAGCCAACGACGTAATCAGGCTTGTCCCTCAAGATCCTGTTGATTCCTGCTCTTACTTCCATCATGGCATCCATACCCTTGCAAACGCGGTCTACTACCTGTGAGGGTTTCCAGTTCAGCGGCAGTGGGCGTGGTGGTGGCTTTATGTCGACTGTGAATGCCACATGGCTCCCGTCTTTCTCTTCAGCTGCTTCTGGACTGGGCACTACAATTCTTGAGGCTATTGCTCGCGCCTCCATGACAGCGTCTGGCACAATCCCTACTTTACAGCCGTCCTCGTTTTTGGCCTGAGACTGGGCTGGGTTCTCCAAGTTTTCCTCCGAAGCCTGTTCTTCCTTCAGCTCTTCTGCCATTGCCTGCATCGCTTCCGTAAGCGGGTCGCAGCTGATACCAGGGGCTTTGTCTTTCATTCGAGGGTCCACCATTGCTGGCGGGTTTCGAAGTGTGGGATACTGGCACGGCTGAACGCTCCCTCTACTCAATGCAGAAGCATGACATCTATTCAGAGCGTCCATATCACTTTGAGGCAGGCCAGCCGAACCATTATGATAATAGACCATCTCTGCGAAGGAACTTAGAGATGGTTCTTCGGAAAACAATATGTCGTGCTGCGGATCGGGGCTAGGAGGCAGCACTCCTGGGATATGAAGGCTGCTTAGTCGGTTGATTGGAGGGAGCTGGGGTGCCAATGAGTCTGACGAGTCAACTATTGTACTATCGTCCGAAACCGTGATTTGAACTTCTTCCTCGCTTTCTGGCTCCTCCTTTCTGCGGAAGCATCTAAAGGGGTCGCAGTTCATGCAGCAGCCGCCCATTGCTATGGTCAGGCTATTGACGGGCTATTGACCTTGCAGGCGTATAGATGAGTGAAGGAAGAGCTGGGGATCAGACGGCACAGTGTATGTCCTTTTAGATGGATTTTTATTTAAATTTCCCGGCACTGATGGGTTGTGGGCCGCTGGATTGCTAGAATCTGAAATACTCAAGCAAAAAGTCCGCACGCTTTTTCAGAGATGGAACAGGTCTCGAGTGTATTGTCCTGAATTCTGCAAGCAAAGGAGCTTCAATATAATGAGCGAGTATTTTGTATCTCCAAGAACGAGAAAAGAATGGTCTAAACATGTAGAAGAGTGTATACCGACACCAAACGAAGGACGGAAGTATATAAACAGCGATATCTAATGCAAACGATGGACGCCAGCGAGTGTGTTGAATATACGATGAATAGATGAAGGAAGCCCGAAAAAACAACAACAACAACTTAAGTAAGGTTGGATGTTGAAGAAAAGGAGAAAAGGAGCCAAAGTTCTTATTTTCCAAGGCAGGAACAACCAATGTGTTTATTTACATTTACAGCTTTTATTGAGACTTATAGAAGTTGCGTTCAGGATGTGTGATGGTCGTGACTTCCTAGCTTACGGTTAAGGGATGAAGTTGAGGCTCAACGAGTAAGGAGATTCTACTATGTGGAGAACGTTTGGGTCAAAGATTCATAGATTTCATATAGAGACTATTGATGGTCACAAAAGGAGACCAACTTCCTGCTTGCTTGATAAGACTCATAAGCGCACATAAGCATCGAAACATGGTATAATAAATTTGATATAAAGGGTAATATATGCAAAGAATTTCAAAGAATCCAGAAGAAAGTCGAAAAAAAGAAAGTTCATGATAACGTCATGTCGAGCCGGTCGGTCGTTTGGTCGGACTGTAAGGCGCCGGGTCGTCGTCATATTGAGGGAATGTCGGAGCCCCTTTACTTGTGTTTGGCTGGGGCAAGAGTTGGAGGCTGTGGCTCTGGCAGCCTCACCTTTCGAATGACGAAAGGCTTTGGACCAAGTTTTCCATCTTTGCCGAGTAAGAGATTGGGAAACAAGGCGGTCTTCGCTGGCTTTGCGGCCTTCTGGACTTTTGTTGGCCGCGGTTTGGGCTGAGGAACAGCCCCGATGGTGGTGGCCGCCTTCTTAGGTTTGGCGGCTGGGGCGACTGGCTCGTATCTGCCAGTCTTCTCGTTGAAAATTGCTATCGCATTGTGGAAGGGTAGGCGATAGTCCTTCTCCTTTGGCTTGAGTCCAGCACCCATTTTGGCTTGCTGGATCTGCAACGAGGTTAATGTTAGAAACACAGACAAGAGGATTGTGTGAGTGAATATATGATGCCAGCATACCTTGGAGAATGTATGAATGTATAAAATTTATATATTCGAGGATATGCTCTTGGTGTAGGGCACGAGCGTGGACAGTCAAGTATGTCTGCAGGATGTAGAAGTTGTTGGTGAGGAGATGAAGAGAAAAAGATGAATTGGGGGGCGAAAGGAGTGTTTGAGGGCTTTTATAGTGCAGATGAGAGTCATACCTACACAACCATGGTACAGTAGAACCATATTATGTCCTCATCGAAGAGTTGTCCTGCTATGACGTTTTGGACTCGAACGAAGAGTTGTCACCGTCATACCACAGGAATACAGAGTCAGCAGAAGACTCAGGAGATGCTAGCCCCAGCATAGTTGCCGCACAGCTAAATGGCTATTTCCGTGTTTCTTGAATGAGCTGGAATAGCTGAGCCATTTGAGATGGCTGGCGAGCCTTGAAAACCGGCCATCAGCGAGTGAGACTATGCATATCATATATTTTTGGGTAAATATTGCATCATTACTTTTTAATCGGCTAAAAAGAGCGGTTAGCGGCCATTATCAAGTCGTGGTGGTGGCGTGAGGACGCGAGAGACCTTGCGATAGACTCACTTTCAGTCGATGGACTTAGGGTATAAAAGGCTAATTTGAGAAATGACATAATCGATCTCCTGAGCCAACATCGACGTAAGCTACAACTGTGGTAGATGGTTTGACTACACACCAGCCAGGGAGGCAGAGTAACAGAGCTCAGAGCTTCCTCGGCGTTCATGCTCGTTGGCTTAAGGGCATGTAGCACAGTCGTATGATTTTTATAATTAAGTCAACCTGAGAAGAGCACATCAGCAAATAACACTAGCTATCGGAGTTCACAAAACTAAACATAAGCTTACCCATCTATTAGCTTTAAATCTGGGTTTCCAGGAATTGCCCGTTATAGGCTATACATACCCCTTTCCGGGGATACGCATTCTCCTCTGGGGACTTATTCGCAGTCATACTGCTAAGTAAGCCCTAAGATACGCAAGCAACCAACTATAGTATATAGATATATATTAGTAAAGGTAGTAATATTATATCTTGGGTTAGAATATAAAGTAAGTATATCATTTATGAGAGTCTACATTTTGATATGAGAAGTTGAGGTTGGTTCAAGCTCATAAAGCCGCAACCACTAGCTTGCACGTGACAGGGATAGCCCGAGATGTGGAGACAACATTCACCTTAAGATAAAGAGTTTAGAAGATATTCATAAGATACTGATTAAAGTGAAGTAATTCAAGTGAAGAAAAATAATTAATATATCGCTGTCAATATAGTTCTAGACTGGCTATAATAAACTAGGAGCATGCTGTATCTATAACGCCTAGAAAGAGGCAACCAACCATTTTGTGCTGGAGGACCTTATAGAAGGCGAAGTGACGGAGCATATGCCTTCCTTTTAGATTATAAATTAGGGATATTCACTAGAAGTAACCCCCTGTCCGTATTACCATGAAAGTGCTGGTGACATAAGAGGGTGTTATGTCTGACTAACTCCACGTTTCGTAATAACTGTAGCATCAACAGCACGAAACGGAAAGACAAAGAT